TTCTTCTCATACTATATGCATGCTCCCTGCATGCGACTTTACAGATATGCCCACCAAGAAATGGAGTCTAATTATCTACTCTTTGAATCTGGGCTTGGACATATGACTTAGTTTGGGCAACAAGGCATTAGCAATATGACACGAGCAGAGGCTTGAACATTGCTTGCATACTGAAGCTTGCTGTCTGTTACTGCTCGTAGGAACTCTCAGATCAACATCACATGAATGCGCTTGGGCTAGCCTCCTGGATAATGAGAGATACATGACCCCGTTACCTCCATTTTCCTGCCAATAGCCAGCAACCACCAGGTAAGTGAGTGAGGCCATCAAATATCAATTGAGTGTAAATGCATGTGTGAGGGTCAGACAACATCATGTGGAGCAAAGCAAAGCTGTCCTAGTTGAGCCCAGCCCAAATTGCTCATCCCCAGAATCATGAGTAAATAAATTATTAAGCTGCTAATTGACACAGACACAAAAATGCATTGGAACGTTATTGGAAGGAGCCACTTCAGGTCCTCTTGACAAGAGCTACAGTTGGCCCATAGTTACATGTGTCAAAATGAAAATGAACTTTCAATTAAGACCAATGGACTTCTACTCCCATGAGTGACAAGTTGAGGATAACCAAAAAGCCTCCAGAAACTGATATTTTCTTTTTTTTTTTCTTTTTTTGTCTTTTCTTTTTTTGGAAACTGATCTTTTCAAGGCACAAACAGCTTACCTGAAATCTTCAGATCAAGCAGACAACGTTGTAAGTGCAAATTCCACCCAAGACGATGAAACTAAAACAGATCTTTTTGTTATGCCCAATCAAATGAACTTACTCCCTTGTAAAATTGCTGTAACTAAAAGCTATTGCTTTCCTTTTCTATGACTCTACTTTTCTTCATTTTTCCCCTTCCTTTTTTGAAGCAAAATACATTTCCTCTACCTTGTTGGGTTTTTCCTTTTTTTTTTTTTGAGATGGAATCTTGCTCTGCAGCCCAAGCTGGAGCCCAGTGACCCAATCTTGGCTCACTGCAAGCTCCACCTCCCGGGTCCTGGTTCAAGCAAATCTCCTGCCTCAGCTTCCCAAGTAGCTGGGATTACGGGCACGAGCCACCATGCCCAGCCAATTTTTGTATTTGTAGATGTGGGGTTTCATCATGTTGGCCAGGCTGGTCTTGAACTCCTGATCTCATGATCCGCCCACCTCAACCTCCCAAAGTGCTGGGATTACAGGTGTGAGCCACGGTGCCCAGGCTTACCTTGTTTTCAAGAAGGAGAGACCATAGCTTCATCTGCTAACCTGCCTCCTGCTGGATCTGTTATCCATTTCCAACTCCAGGCATCACTCAAATCATGGGAATATCTCTGCTTAATGCTAGCAAACAACCCCATCAAGTTAAAGAGCTGAACATCTTCTATATATTTTAGAGCATACAACAAATATCTCTAGACTCAGCTACTCAGGCTGTTGTTATAATTATATAGAACTACACACCACCAATATTTTATCCGGAGAGAAAAGTCAACCCAATCACATTTGAAAAGTATCCCGAGTGTCCATGGTACTTTTATAACCCATCCGACTATTGGGGAATATGACTAAAGGAAATAAAAATACTTACCAAGCTTGACAAGCAATCCCATACAACTATCCTGATGATAGAAATACCCCTTATGTTACAATTTACATATTTACTCATAATGTAACACCCTGTAAAAAATAAATATGCTCATGTTTAGGAAAAGCAGGATACAAGATGCCAACTGAAATAGTTATGTTTGTCATCATAATTCTGGGAAAAAGACATCACTTGTAACTCTTTACATACATATTAATTATGGGGCCAGTGGGCCTGTTTTTTTATCTGTGACCTCTATGTATACTGAGAACTATTCCTGGTGAGCATGTATTCCTGATACATAGACTCCTTATCAGCTCCTTTGAAGATTTTAAGCCTTGTTCAGTCTCACCATTTGGGTCTCTTCAGAAGTCTCGTAGGAGTGACCTCCCAGGAGAAGGTAGGAGTCTATTGAACTGCTTGAGGGTTTTTAACTTTGTTAGGGTCCCTGAATTCCAGAGATGTATCAATAACTTATTCCTCACTATGGCTGAAATTATAAATTATAAATGTGAATATTCATACTATAAAGACCCAGAAAAAGAGCTCTGATTTGCTTGCTGTCTTGGTAATTAGTGGACCATCAAATAGCTTTACAACTATTTACAGGCCTCCATAAGTGGGCATCTGTACTCTAGCTAATATTTCCTATTATTTCTAGGTAAACACTTCAGGATACGAAGAAAAAATATATTAAAAAAAAATACAGACACAGGCTGATGACTCTCAAAGATTTGACAGTCTGACACTTGAAATCTACCCTCCATCCTACCTAGGTCAAATTAAAAAACTGCCTTCATGAAATTCCCTAAACTATAATGATCAGATTTCTCAGTAGAAAAATTGTTTTTCTCTATTGCATTTCTAATAGAATCTTCAAAACTACTGTGCAATTGATTTTGATGATCAAATGATGATTCCATATTAGGGAGAGACAGAATTTCTTGTGGTTAATCTCTGTCTTCCAGGAGAGACATTATGACCAAAAGCAGAAATGACAAATCCTGATGTCACTGCCCAGCCTCTCCCTGAGGATCCACGCCACACTGTACACCCCATGTCCTTCATACTTCATGTTTGTTAAACAGATGTACATATGGATATATGACAGAAAAGAATGCTTCAGCAAGTTTCTTCTTAGTAACATCACAGAAATATTAAGGATTGTACTCTCCAATATTGTTCAAGTTACTTATATATAAGGAAATACCACAGCATCAAGACATCTTTTAAAAGATAAATATATTTCAGTTATATAATAATTATTATTTTTGAGATGGAGTCTTGCTCTGTCACCCAGGCTGGAGTGCAGTAGCGTGATTTTGGCTCACTGCAAACTCTGCCTCCCAGGCTCAAGCAACTCTCCTGTCTCAGCCTCCCAAGTAGCTGGGATTACAGGCACACACCACCATGCCTGGCTAATTTTTGTATTTTTAGTAGAGATGAGGTTTCACCATGTTGGCCAGGCTGGTCTCAAATTCCTGGCCTTAGGTGACCCACCCACCTCAGCCTCGCAAAGTGCTGGGATTACAGATTACATGCATGAACCACTGCGCCCAGCCAGTTATAAATTATTTTTTGATTGGGGGGGATGATACACTATGAACTTAAAAATGCTATTTTTGTTTTATGTATTTTTCTAATGTTTTGAGTTAATAGAAAAACAATAAAAGATCTAAAAATATATGTTCGGCATTTTTAAAAGTTATTAAGAAACCAGAAATCTCTAAGTAATAAGAAACATACTGAAATAATCTTCTAAGAATAAAAATATTTATTCAACATTCTATTAAAGTATACAAAGAGTGAATTTAGGATTTAAACCAAAGAAACATTTTATTTTATTATTATTTTGAGACAGATTCTCACTCTGTTGCCCAGGCTGGAGTAAAGTGGCTCAATCTCAGCTCACTGCCACCTCTGCCTCCTGGGTTAAAGCAATTTTCCTGCCTCAGCCTCCCAAGAAACTGGGATTACAGGCACATGCCACCATGCCCGGCTAATTTTTGTATTTTTAGTAGAGACGAGGTTTTGCAATGTTGGCCAGGCTGGTCTCGAACTCCTGACTTAAGAGTGATATGCCCGTCTCAGCCTCCCAAAGTGCTGGGATTACAGGTGTGAGCCACCATGCCCGACCGGAACAGACATTTTAAATACATGTTACTCTAGTGTTAAGGCATGTTAGCTCAGCAATTTTTTTTTTTTTTGGAGACACTTTCTCATTCTGTCACACAGGTTGGAGTTCAGTGGCACAACCACGGGTCACTGCAGCCTTGACATCTGGGGCTCAAGTGATCCTCTCACCTCATCCTCTTGAGTAGCTGGGACTACAGGTATGTGCAACCATGCCCAGCTAATATTTTGTATTTTTGGTAGAGATGGGTTTTGCCATGTTGCCCAGGCTGGTCACAAACTCCTGAGCTCAAGTGATCCACCCTTGGCCTCCCAAAGGGTTGGGATTACAGGCATGAGCCACCATGCCCAGTCATAGCCCAGCAATATTAACAGCCTTGATCTTGATCGTCTACCTCTTAATAGCATGTCTCATAGTCTATTCCAGAAGTCAGAAATTGTAAAATTACATGTAAAATAAAAATTTTAAAACTTATAAAATCAAAAGTGCCATTTAGTTTATTTTTATATACATAGTCTTATTCCAAAAGGATCTGAAGTGGTTGGCAGAGGAATGTGTACAGGAGTAACCATGAACAGAAATAATCCTATAAAACAAAATACTAATGAATGGACACTAGCTTTTTTTAAAACAAAAGTTCAAGTGCACAAAGAGTAGAATAAATCCAAGATTACACTTCTAAAGTTATAAAAGGCAGGCTTTCTATGGTTAGGAGGAAAAAACTACCAACACCTTTAAATAAAAACCGCTTTTGCTAAACTAAGATTTTGCTAAAATCTTTCCCAAACAGAAAAATGTTCTGAAAACCAGAAACCAATGTTGCGAGGTGGGTTGTCATGTTTAAAATGAAGCAGCCCTGAGCAACATTTCCTCAGCTTTCACCTTATCCGGAGACTTGCAGATGAATATCAAAAACAAATTAAAATCCACAGAGCAGCATTTTTCTTCCACTTGTTTAAAAGAAACTATCTTAAGCAGAACTGTCCAAAGGGCCATAGCAAAGACAATGAGTTCTAAAGTGAAACCTAAAACGTGTCAGTTACCACATACCTGAGAGAAGCTGTGAGGAAATGCATGTGGAAGGCCGACACATTTCTGAGTTTCCATAGATTCATTCTTGCAGCTTCTATGTTCAGTGAGAAAAAAATCCCCGGGCAATGGACCCTACCAGAAGTTTAAGAAATTCTAAATTGCTCTTCAGTAATTCTCAGCCTTGAGTGCCCATTAAAATTACCTAAAAAGGTCTTTTTAAAAAAAAATACTAATGCCTGGACCCCATCCAAGATCAATTAAATTGAAATCCCTGGTACAAGGTCCAGGCATTAGTATTTTTTTAAAGCTCCCAGAGGTTCTACTATGCTGCCAGTGCTGAGACCCACTTAGTAACCTACAAAAATGCTGAAAAAGTCAAGGATGACGGTTATTACCGTGTGTTTGAAATTCAGCTGTGACAGAAAATGATTTTTCCGGGAGGTGAATTTTTTTCAGTAGTGCTAGGCTGCCTTTCTTTTCATGTGCTTAAACCCTCTACTATACAGTGCTGAAATCCCTCAAGATAACAAGGACACCGCCATTTATTGAGCACTTACATGGTATCGAGCACTGCGCTGGGCACTGCCCCCCCATCTCCACACACAATCACTAATGCCCATTATTCTGCAAAAATAAGCATTAAGCCCATTAATCTGAAACAGCTAATAAAAAGGGGCTTCTTTGGCCCCTACCACAGAGCAAGTGTCTACATACAGAAACTGGCATTAGAACCTACATGTATCTGATTAAAAAGCAATGCTTTTTATTTTCTTTTAATTTTATGTATTTATGTTGCAAAAGGTAATACAGTTACCTGTTTCACAGGCTTATTAAGGTTTATATGGTATACATAAGGTATATAAAAATTAATCTCACTGATATTTCCTATCACAACTGAAGTTCAAATATATAGTAACCATGATTATCCTTGATCCCTGTCACTTAGCCTCTCCTATCACCCAGCCAGCAATTGTCCTCCCTGGAGACAAACATAGCAGTTTCTTGTTTATTTAATATATTTACAAGCAAATACATGAAAGAATATGTGTACATACCATATATTTGAATTCCTCCCCACCCCATTTTAAATAATTTAAACAACTGCATAGTTCACACACTATTTTGCACATAGCTTTTTTCACTTTAACAGTGCATCTCAGAGATTATTCCATATCAATACGTAAACTTTAAATATTTTTTATATTACATAGTATCCCATTGTGCTGATGTACCATCACTTTAAAACCCATCTATTATTGATAGACATTTGATTTTTTTCTAATTATTTGCTGTTACAAAAATGTTAGAATGAGTAACCTTGAGCTACATAATTTTATAAATACCTACAGATAATTATACCTATAGATTAGATTCTTAGATGTCAGAAGCCATGCCCTCTCCACTATTGTATGCTATCTCAGAATTCTAAGAAACAACTCACAATCAGACTTATGTTGACTTATTTTATTTAAAAACTTTAAATACCCAAATTATGCTTTTCGTTTTATTTAAAAAATTGGAAATGTTTTTTCAGAATATGCTCAAAAACCAAACAGTCTGAGAGATGGTTTTAAGCCAAGGTAAAATGACTTTAAAACCGGTGGCATAAACAGTGTGCTGGCTCTCTCTTCCTGTTCAGAAGGTATCTGGCCCTGAAGACTCCATGTCCCCCTGCATCGTGCTGATGCTTGGAGACTGAGAGTAATCCTTGAGGTTCCCTGAGGGCAGCGTCACGGACATCTTGGCAGGGGGCATCTGTGAAGCGGAGAGTGGCACTGCTTTCCCACCTGCACAAAGGAGAAGCTCATTCAGCTCTCAACAGCATATCCTAAGTATTTACGTGCTTTTACACTTTGCAAAATAATATGGAGGGGGATCCAAATAAGGACAGCATACAAGAGAATCTCTTGACCCAAAGTGCTCAGAAGTTGTGAGAGAGATAAAATATACCTTCCTCCTTTCTATCCTCACTCCTAATCAGTCAGAGAGAACATTTCAAGAGTATACATGCCAAAAGTTGTGATATAGATGATAAATGCTAAGTAAGATCAAGTAGAGTTGAGGGCCTAGTCTCTGAAATCCAGACTTAACTTCTTGCTGGCGGTGTGACTGTCAGCAAGTTATTTTACCACTCGAAAGTCCAGTTTACCATATGTTAAATGGGATAATAGTACCTACCTTGCATAGTATAGTGAGGATATAAAATAGTGTCAGTGAAGAGCTCAGTAACAGAGCTTAGCACTCAATAAGTGCTCAAATACTAAGCGCTCCCATTACCGCTAAAAGACTGCCATTATTACTACTGTTACCATTAAGTAAATAGCTAGAAGAGCAATAAAACACTGTAATAGCCTGAAATTAAAGATTTGTGGCTAGTTAGAGCAAGAACGGGTTTTATTTTTTTAAAGAGGTAAGATATGAGCCATGTAAAAGGCATTTGAAGTCAAAGGTTGCCAAGGCACTTTGCTCTTCCTCCTATTCCTAAAAAAATGGACCCTTAAACTCAGGAGCATGTCATTAATAATGATTTACTGAGTGCCTAAGGGGGCAATGCTATTAGTTAACAGAAGTGATATAAGGTTAGCAATGTCAGAGGAAAAACATATTGCAGTGGACATCCAAATATTGATGCTTGACTTTGGAAAGCACTTTTCTCTGTAAAATAAGACTTTTCTCGATACTGTAGACATTAGCTCTACATTTAATGAAATATGAAAAAAAAATTCCCACTCCATGGAATGAGAGCAATATTATAATGTCTAATATGAAAGTTTGCTGGCGGCAGAGGGGAGGCAGTTTGGGATAAATAATTCATTAATATGTAAAAAATTCAAAGTTGATTACATAAGTGTATCTATCTGCCCACACTCAAATTCACCCCTCTAAGTTTAAAGCACAATGCCCAAGAATATAAATACTATCAACTTGGTGTTATTTAGAACAAAAAACAAAAATCCTCATTTTTAATTTCATGGATTTACCACAGATATAAGAATAATAAATACCTTAAAAACAAATTATCTTAAACAATCTTAAAGACATATTTCAGATAAGAGTCGTAGTAATTTTTCTAAAATCCCTTTATGTTTTTCAAGTAGTTTCCACAGTAATAAAGTTGAATTTTCATTAAATGTTTACAGGAGCCACAGTACAATTAGACAGTCCTGGAGATTTTAATGATGACTCAATCACAGCTGTCCAAGATCAGAATGCTTATAAAAGGCAAATTCCTTTCACATAAGGAAATTTTAAAAAGACTATTTTAAATACTCTATCATTCCTTTTTGTTACTTGTATCTTTTTTTTTTTTTTATGAAAAGGGAGAGGAAAATGAGATTTGGCACCATTACAGCAATATCACAAACTATATAATACCGTAGTATTTAAAAAGAAAGCAAGTCTTACATCAATTTAAATAAATAGGAAAAAACTTGAGTCTTTTCAGTTTGTCAGGATATAAGAAAAATGAATAGACATTAAGAACATTTTAATTTTTTTTTTTTTTTTTTTTTTGAGACAGGGTCTTGCTCTGTCACCTAGGCTGGAGTGCAATGGCATGATCATGGCTCACTGCAGTATCAACCTCCCAGGCTCAAGCGATCCTTCCACCTCAGCCTCCCAAGTAGTTAGGACCACAGGTATGTACCACCCTCTCTGGCTAATTTAAAAAAATTTTTTGTAGAGGGACAGTCTCCATATGTTACCCTGGCTGCTCTCAAACTCCTTGGTCTCAAGTGATCCTCCTACTTCAGCCTTCCAAAGTGCTGGCATTACAGATGTGAGCCACCATGCCTGGCCTTAAAAATGTGTACAGGATAAGCATTAATAATATATAATATTTAAATATTCTTATATTTTACAAAGCCATGATGCAGAATATACAAAATAACCGAGGGAAGCAGCTTACCTCATCAACAAAGTAAAAACTGACACTGGATATAACTAAGTCCTAGAGCAAATTAATTTTCCACTCATAAAAACAACTTAATGTTACCTTCTCCTAATTTTTCTTAAGAAAAACTCCTTTCCTTGAGTTAAACATCTGCCAAAAACGACAGTGATACCAAATACTCTTCTTTTCTCTGTTATTTAATTTCACAAAACCGCTTTGATATACCTTCATTTTCTACTTTGTGCATAAAAGTACTGAATAAATTGCTCAACGTTGTAACAAGAGTTACAACTTTTTAGGGCTAGGGGTATCTCCCAGAAGTTTCCAAGGCTCAAGGAACATAATGAATTCAATCACTACAAGCATTTCTTGCAGTTACTGCCTTACACTTGCATAACAATTCAGCTTTTGTAAATATCTTTTCTCCATCATATTATCTGATCCTAACAGTAATTCTGGGAAACAGACAAGGTAACTGAGGCTCAGAGATGTTAAAATGGGCTTCTCCAAAAGCATATATGCACGAACTAAACATCTATATGACTCTTTTCTATGTATGGAGCTAACAGCATACGCAGATGAAGAAGACAGAGTCCTCATCCTCAAGAAGTTCATCACTTAATAGAGAGAATAAACACGTATAGGAATACTTAGTTTAAATGAGGTGGAAGGTAGCCATTGAGTTGGGACTGAAAAGATGATGGGAAGGCAAGGAAGGAAAAGAGAACAACAAAATAAAGTTAATATGTTAAGGGAACTCTGAGTATTCTGGTATCAAATATTTGGATAGGAGGAATGGTGAGATGAGGCTATAAAGGAAGGCCAGGGACAAGCCTGGTAAAAGCAGTAAAGAGTCACAAAAGATTTTGAGCAGAGGAGTAATTTGAGCAAATGTATGGCCTAATATCCAGCATCTATAAAACAAATTTACAAGAGAAAAACAACCCCAAAGGACATCAACAAACACCTTTCAAAAGAAGACATACATGGGGCCAGCAAGCATATGAATAAAAGCTCAACATTACTACTTATTAGAGAAATGCAAGCCAAAGCCACAATGAGGTCCCATCTCACACCAGTCAGAATGGCTATTATTAACAAGCTAAAAAATAACAGATGCTGGTGAGGTTGCGGAGAAAAGGGAGCACTTACTCACTTGGTAGGAGTGTCAATTAGTTCAACCATTGTGGAAAGTAGTATGGTGATTCCTTAAAGAGCTAAAAGCAGAACTACCATTCGACCCAGCAATTCCATTACTAGGTGTATACTCAGTGGAATGTAAATCATTCTACCATAAAGACACATGTAGGCAGATGTTCACTGCAGCACTTTTCACAAGAGCAAAGGCATGGAATCAACCCAAATGCCCATGAATGACAAATTGGATAAAGAAAATGTGGTACATGTTTACCATGGAATACTATGCAGCCATAAAAAAGAACAAGATCATGTCTTTTGCAGGAACATGGATGAAGCTGGAAGCTATCATCCTTAGCAAACTAATGTAGGAACAGAAAACCAAATACTGCATGTTCTCACTTACAAGCAGGAACTAAATGATGAAAACTCATGAACACATAGAAGGGAACAATAAAAACTGGGATCTACTTGAGGTTGGAGGGTGAGAGGAAAAAGAGAAGCAGAAAAAATAACTATTGGGTATTCAGCTTAATAACTGGGGGATGAAATACTATACAAGAAACATTCTTCATATGTACCCCCAAACCTAAAATAAAAGTTTTTTTTTTTTAAAAAAGGTAAAAATAATTCTAATAGCTCTTTAGAAAATAAGGACAGAGGAGAGGGATCTATAAAAATTGTCCATGGAAGATCTGATGATCCTTGGCAGTGGAAATAGAGTCAAGATATTTTGGATGGAGACTTAGTACTTATAAAGAATCAAGTTTCACTCTCAAATGACAGATTTCATTGACTGACTAGCCAGTAATAAGAACACAACAAACTTGGGGGCTACTGATGTACAAAATGATGGGAAGGTACTGGGACCAGCTATCCACCTGATGAATCTGAATGCCTGCAAGATGTGTGAATGGACTTCTCCAGGAGGCAACTAGAGCCAAAGATTGAAGACTGTGACGCAGTTTTAGAAATAGAGAATTACCAGTCATCTACACAAATATAATGGAGCAATGAGAATTACAATCAACTAGGGAGAAAAAGTAGACTGAGAATAGCAATAATGACAAAAATGTGGGGAAGAGTAAGGAAAGATGAATAAAGGAAAACAAAAGGAAGTATCAGAAAGAAAAATAAGAAGATTCCTAGAACAGTAAAAAGTCACACAAAGTTAAGGATGGTTTTCAAAAAAGAAAGCCCAGTATAATTCACCTAATTAATTAATAATTGTTAGAGCTGAGACTACAACATACTAAACCAAATAAATAAAAAAATAAAAAAAAAATAAAAAAAATAAAAAAAAAACATACTAAACCAAATACCTTAATTACCCACATAAAAATTATTACTTTTAAGGGTAGATGAGGGTGATTACATTTAAGTTCTGCTACGTAATGAATGATAGGAGCAGCTAAGAAGAGGAGCAGTGATGAAGTTTGAAGCACAAGCCCCTTTATGACAGGTCAAGACAAGGGTCCAAATTAGGTCACTTAGGAATGGCCCCACCCAGACTGCTAGAGTGAGGCTTCTGTATGGGAAGCAGTAGAAGGCAGAGGGGGATAACAGAATGGATTCTGGAACAGGGCAGAGCTGAGTTCATTCATCCATCCAACAAAATATCAACTGTGCCTGGCACTGTTCTAGACTCTAGAGAATACAGCAGTGAAGAAAACAAAGGCTCCAACCTCACTGGCTGCACATTCTGTTGGGCTTATGGGATGAATCACAAGTAATAAAACAAACATCTAATATAACAAAAAGTGATAGGTACTATAAAGAAAAATAGGTAAGGGGTAAGAGGGATACAAAATAACAAGAGACCGAAAAAGTTATGTAAGTTATCTGAACCCCAGTTTTCTCAACTATTAAAAAAAATATGAGTACCTACTTCAGAGGTTTTTATGAGGATTCAGTGAGATAATACATACAAAGTCCTTTGTATAGTGCTGGAACATAGAAAGCAATCAAACAGATCGGTCCTTACTTTTATGTAATTGGAAAGTCACTATCCAAGAGGCAATGAGGCTGAGGGTGGGCTGCAAAAGGTACTCTGCTTTAGAAGGAAAAATAAGAATTTTTCATTGAAACGCAATTAAGAAAAAAGGAGGGAAGGGGGAAAGAGTGTACTCTGGAAGGCCTCCAAATTGTTATGCTAGTTTAAACTCCAGTTAACGGTGTTTTAATCAAGAAGTTATATCATTAAAATGTACCATCTTATCTAAAGGTATTTGTTAATGTACACTTTGGGAAAAAAAAAATTTTTTTTTTGAGGTGTCGCCCAGGCTGGAGTGCAGTGGCGTGATCTTGGCTCACTACAACCTCTACCTCTTGGGTTCAAGCGATTCTCCTGTCTCAGCCTCCTGAGTAGCTGGGATTACAGGCGCATGCCACCATGCCTGTCTAATTTTGTATTTTTAGTAAAGACAGGGTTTCACCATGTTGGTCAGGCTGGTCTCGAACTCCTGACCTCATGACCCGCCTGCCTCTGCCTCCCAAAGTGCTGGGATTACAGGCGTGAGCCACCACCCCGGCCGAAAGCTTTTTAAAATATTCATTTACACAAGCTAAACCACAGTTTTAGAACTTTGCAAGAGGACTCTTTAACTGGGAGTATTTAAAAAAAGCATCACTTAGATTACTGTGAACAGGCAAAAAGGGTAACATTCATAAAAAATTTACATTTTTTAAAAGAAAAGACAAAACATTTTAATAAATCACCATGAAAGCAAATATAAATCTTCTACCTCTATTAAATATAGTTTGATGCCTTTAAAGTTTGACTTTTTAAATTTGCACAGTCAAGTCATTATGATGTAATTGTTTCAACAGCTGTTTTCAGGTCTATAAAAAAGACTGTTCCTTGATTTCATGGGTTTGCAGTATGTCATTTAACCGGCATGCATTTAAGCTGGGCATGCCATGGAGTCAGTCCATGCATTAGAAGCTTCCTGAGACATAATTTAATATACTTTTTAGACTTTTGTAATTCCAAGTTTTCGCTTTAGGAATATTTAAAATTCATAAAGAAATTCTATGTTTTCTGTTTTGGATGTTGGATTTATAAAAATAAGTAAAAGATAAACTATAATTTATTTTAAGTAATATGCTATATAATGAATGGTAGGATTCAATTCTCTGAATTGTTTTTCCAGTGATAGTGGTGAAATATTAGTTCCTCTCCTGTTAATTGTGGCTGTCTTATTCTCTGCAACTTGACTGCAGCACTCACCAAACTGCACTGTAATTATTTATGTATCTGTCATTTCTTCCAGACAATGCATTCCTTAAGAGCATAGACAGTCTCTGGAACTGACAGTCTTTGTGTTCTGAGTGACTAGCATAGCAAGTACACAGTATTTGTGACTTATCACCTTGTATTATTGTTACTAACTTGTTAGTCTGTTGTTGCCGTTAAATATGTGCTCCACTAGGACAGTGACTGTGTCTTATTTACCTCTGCATTCTACAAAGCCTCAGCAGGATGCTGGGCAAATAGTAGAACTTGAAATGACTGCCGAACCAAATTGATTTGTTTTTACCTAGAGAGTCTGTGATTGCTCTTTGCTAGCAGCTTACTTAGATTCATGCTGACGAGATCTTGTCTTTAAAATCAGCCCTGAGTTCCAGCAATGCAGTTGCTTCCTAGCTGTCTGTGAAAATGTTACAGTATTTCATCCATGTTTTATTGAGTACTTGAAGCATTTTTCCTGTCCACCCTGGGCTCATCCACTCTTGCACCAATTCCTGTGTAAGCAGCTGCTAAACTCCCCTGCTGTATTCAATTCTCTTCACATACTTAACACCGTCCTACAGATTGTGCAACATCAAAGCCCCAGTGTTTGAGAATAAATGCAAGTCTTGATGAAGAAGGCGCCTCATCATTTGATGTGAAGTATACAGTATGCAATATTTTATTTAATTCTGCTTTCCAGAATTAGTCACTCTTAAACATTTCTTTTCTTATTCATGTTTTAAAAAGGGTAACATCCCAAAATATATTTTAGGCATATAAATCCTATTACTTTTTTGTTTTTCAAATGAGTTGACAAATGCTTATTTTAAAATTTACAATTTAAGGTAAAAACAAAGCAGTTCTTATAAGAAGAATAAATGTTCTGGCACCTGTAAAAACAACTCCAATTCTTTTTCCTCTAAAAAGCAATCATTAATGTGAAAGATCTGTTTCTTCTTATGCCAGGTTCCAGCTGCTTCACTTTGTTTAAAACTGACTTCAAAGTTTAAACAGTGTCCTGTCCCAACAAATAACCTCCCCCAGATGGAATTATCTCAAGTCCTGTCCTCACTGCTCTGAATACCATACCTGCAGCCTTTTAATTCATCATTTTATAAATGTTCCAAAGCGAAAAAATGGGTTTCTTTTTCTGTCCCCTAACTTAGGCCTTTTGGAGAGCTGAGTTTATACCTGGGGTGAATTTACAGATATTTCAGAAGAATTAAAAACTGCTATTAGTATTTCTACTGTGTTGGTTATTAAGAAAGAAAGAATAAGGAAATGAAAAAATCTGTACAGCTCCGAGTTCAAGAACTTTTAAAGTAAAAATCTTACCTGTAAATACAGATGTGAGGTACAGATTGGGCTCAATTTGTGTCCGATCCATATCACCTGGTGAAACCAAATAAAAATTTATTTTTTCAGAAGAAAAGCACTTAAGCATAGAAATAATCATGAGTCATTCCTATTCACTAAAAGAACACAAACCAAATGTATTCCCACCGTTATTCTCATAAAGTTAAACAGCTGAATTTTAATGACTATCAATAGAAAATACTTTACCTAACAGATTATTGTCTTTATGCATCACAGATGAGGGAGAGGGGAAAGCAAATGAGAGAATCTGAAATTTGTATTAAATAAAGGAAATTCATGGTTCATTTTTTCCAAGATGAAAAGTTTTCACAGATTCTCCTACCTAATAATTTAATAATTACAAAAGGAGTTTTAGAATCTCCCTTCTTCCTAGGCCAGCCTTGGGCATATTACTCAATACAATCAGTAGGAAACAACCAATAAAGCTGTCAGGGGGGCACAGAAGAGCAATACACTATTATACCAATGCTATTATACCAAAGTGAATATTTAGTATTAAGGTAAAATAGGCTGAAGAAAAACTCTATTTTATGGCTACAGAATTGGAAAGTTAACTGAAGACAGAAACCTGTAGCACATATAGGTCTCATGCCAACAAGATACCCTGGATACCGAGGGCATGGCTTTGTTTTGATGCTGTTAATCAGTGCTGTGAAGTACAGTTAATTAACAACCTTCTATAACTGTTATTTCAAACAAATTCTTGGGGCAGGGTGATATGAAAAAAAATTATAATGTTGCATAATCAGTATTTCTTTTCTAATTTTCTTTAAGATAAAAATCAGTTACCTCTCAAGCTTCTTTTATTTCACAAAAATTTCAGGTGGTACATGTACACAATGGAGTGTTATTCAGCCATGAAAAAGAATGAGATCCTGTCTTTTGCAACAATATGGATAGAACTGGAGGTCATTATGTTCAGTGAAATAAGCCAGGCACAGAAAGACAAACTTTGAAGGTTCTCAATTATTTGTGGGAGTTAACAATGAAAACAGGCCCATGAGGTGATTCATGCCCGTGATCCAAACACTTTGGGAGTCTGAGGCAGGTGGATCGCTTGAGCTTAGGAGTTCAAGACCAGCCTGGGCAAAATGGCGAGACCCAGTTTCTACAAAAAATACAAAAAGTAGCCAGGTGTGGTGGTTTGTGCCTGTGGACCTAGCTACTTGGGAGGCTGAGGGGGGAGGATGGCTTGAACCCAGGAGGCAGAGGTTGCAGTGGGCCAAGATGGTGTCATTGCACACCAGCCTGGGAAACAATGCCAGGCTGGAAAAAAAAAAAAAAGAAAAAGAAAACAATTGAACCCATGGAGATAGACAGTAGAAGAATGGTTACCACAGGCTGGGAATGGTAGTGAATGGTAGGGAAGTGGGAACGGTTAATGGGTTAAAAAAAAAAAACAAAAAAGCACAACAATAGAAAGAATGAGTAAGACAGTAATTTGCTAGCACAGAAGGGTGACAATAGTAAAAAATAATTTAATTGCACATTTTAAAATAACTGAGTATTAGTGGATTGTTTGTACTGCTTGAGGAGATGAATACTCCATTTACCCTGATGTGATTATTACACACTGCATGCCTGTATCAACATATCTCATGTAACCCATAAATACATATACCCACTCAATATTCACAAAAAATTAAAAATCAAAACAATTTCTAAATTAAAAATGTTCTAAAAATTTGGGTAGATTTTTATGATCTTTAGATGAGCAAGATTATAAGCATTGCATATTTCATTATGCTGGGCAATATATTCTCACTGGAGACAAACATTTATGTCAAACTACTGTAGCTATACTGTAGAAAACTTACAAACATATAGTTTTATAAGGATGAATGGAAAAATACAAATTAGATATTTGATATACACAAATAGACCAAAATTAAACATCCAGCTGTGATACAGGGTTTGTTTGTTTTTTAAAGACGTGGGGGTCTCATTCTGTCACCCAGGCTGGAGCGCAGTGGTACAATCACAGCTCACTGCAGCCTTGACCTCCTGGGTTCAAAAGATCCTGTCATCCTGCCGTCTCAGCCTTCCTAGTAGCTAGGACTACAGGTCCTGCCACTATGCCCTGCTCAACTGTGATATAATTTTTAAAAAATCTTTAAATGTATTAAAAGTACTTACTATGATATTAATGGTTACATGCTATCTATGTTCACTTCTTACTCTGTTTCTAAATTTCCAAGAGTTAGAGAGGGAGAGAAATTATTACTGCTTGGTCCCTCCCGCTTAATAGAGCTCCCTTTCAAATCTACAAAGAACATATAGTATAAATATGAAAACAAAGGTGTCAATACCACCTCAGAGACCCCTTCCATTGAAGAACAACTTTTTATAGCAAGTAATGAGACTATTACCTACCTAATTGGGTTGATCAAGGATCTTAGCAGAGTATGTCACATAAAGGAAGTGTACATAATTGGTAACTATGACATACTGTTGTTGCTGTTATTGTAAACATAAACAAAACTCTGCTCAATCAAAACAGGGAGAATCTTGACTTCCATAGTGATATCTTTAATAGTTTAAAAAAAAAAAAGCCACTCTCACAATATCAGAGTTGACTACTTTTAAGTAGTAGCTACATAATTCTCACTTTTTAATTAATGTGGTTTATTGGAAGGGTGAGTATTGTGCTCTGCAGTTGATTAAAGTAGCAAAGATGGCCTACAACTAGGTCAACACAACTTGAAAACTGCTTCTTAAGTTTGTTGGTTCTTACAATTCTTTATATTGCCAATCAAAACTGAAAAAACATAACACTTACTGGTATTGAAGTCAAAAGATTAGAAGGAAAATTTTGGAATTATTTCATCTACAAATTTCTATTAACATTTCTATGGAAATTTTGAATGAGCAATACTGACTAGAAATTGAGTTATATATTAACTATAAATATAATTTATATTTCTATCTTTACCACAAAAAGCTGACTTTTAACTTTTACTTAAATGTTTGAAGATGCTACAAAATAAGAAACAAGTGATCTTAGATTTGGAAATAGAATTCCAGCCTGGAAAAGCAGGGATACTGCTAAAAAAGCTTTAACTGAAGGCACACAGCGGGTACTTGTATTACACTACTTGTACACACTCTGCCTTTTCCAAACACTCGCCTTATTTCAGTATTTTACCTTTTCATTTCAAATAATCATTCAAAATACTGTTGCTATCTATGGTGCCAATTGAAAGTAAGTCATGTTATAGTTAGTATGCAAGCTTTTCAACAATTGGTATTTTTCAAGGAATACTACACAGCCATAAAAATGAATGAAATCGTGTTCTTTCTAGCAACATAGATGGAGCTGGAGGCTGCTATTCGAAGTAAACTAACTCAGAAGCAGAAAACGCATGACCACATATTCTCATTTATAAGTGGGAGCTAAACAATGGGTACACATGGACATATGGATGGAAATAATAGACAATGAAAACTCCAAAATCCGGGTTTGGGGGGGCAGGGCTGAAAAATAACCTATCAAGTACAATGTTCACAATTAGACACCCAATCCCCCTCACTTCAGCAATATACCAATATATCCATGTAATAAACATACTCATGTACCCCCTGAATCTAAAATAAAATAAAATCTATAAAAATTGGTATTAAAAAACTAGAAATTTGGGCTTTATAATGGTTGTACTCTTATGTTTAAAAAAATTATTTTGGGCTTGAAAGTTTATCTTCTGACTCTTTAATGCTATTTTCAGTAAGAGTCACTGGTATAGCAATACTTACATCTGTAAATCTTTATAGTATTGTTTTAAACAAATTCTTTATGGATTATCTAAGAAAACAGTATAAAACTATAAGGCTGTTAACTGCAAAACAAGGATATAAAGATGAAGCCCCCAAAATGTGAATTTTTAACTCACAAAACAAAACATAAATTTTTAAAGGGATGATGTCCAAAATTTAAAACAAAATCTAATAAGGAGAAATCTAAAATTAGTAACAGTCAGGATAGCTGCATTTTTACACTAATCTTAGTTCACTAAAAGAAAATCCAAGAAATTATTAGGGTAGTTAAAAATACATTAAAAAGTTAGAACTTGTTAAATAACCTGGCCAGATCCTCCAAATTAAGTTACTCAGTGGCTGCATATCTACGAGGTACACCAACTCTCTCAAATAATAGCATTTTCAGAAATAGGATCCTGGCAGCATAAAAGTATAAATCCAACTACCAAGAAGTTGATAGTTAATTCAAAAAATAGATGACCCACATATCCTGAATGCAAATCACAATTAACTTGAGTAATGTGCATTTAATTATGAAAGCTCATTAAAAAGCATTTAAGTACTCGACTGTATTGCTGTTGGTGTTATGACAGAGAGAGTGCCTGCCTTTTAGGGGCAAGAATGTCTAGAGGGACATTCCAGCATTAAAATTTGGTTGAGAACTGAGTCTCTATGTCTTAGTAGACAACTTTATCTACAACTCACTTCCTGTTAATTGAACAGCCTGTGAAACAGCTACTAAAACAAATTCCTCTCAGAACATTCTTTATAAAACCATGCCATAATAGTTTAAAAACTAAAAGAATCTTAAAAACTTCAATAGGTTTGCCTGCTGAAGAAGCCATACATACTGTATGATTTCATTAATATAAAGTACAAACAAGGAGACTAATCTAGGTTGTTAGAAGTCCGAATAGTGTTTTTATGCTTGTGGGAGTTGATAAGGTGGCTGAAAGGGAGCCTGAGGGCCTTCGGGGGTCTGGCAATGTTCAATTTCTTGAGCTGGATACTGCTTGCACAAGTGTATTGTATTTGTGAAAATTCTTTGAGCTGTGCACTTACGATATGTATACTTTTCTGAATGTATATTATTCTTCCAAAAAAAAGTTAAAATTGAAAAAGCCAATAGGTTAGTTTCAGCAATTAGAAGATGATACCTTTGTAGTTTTAAACATTTTTTCCAATGATAAAATAGCCAAATTACTATCATTACTAGGTAGCCTTTAATATCAAATAAACAGTTATGCTAAGTCATAGGCTGT